TTCTGGCAAACAGATAAATCTCTACAGAATAAAGCTCTGGTCCTTAAAGGCCTTAAACTTGTATATTAAGTTTAAATGGAGTACAGAAGCTGTGCCAGTGAACGGCAACAGCAACAGTGACGCTCAACACTGAACAAACGCGCTGCGCTGAGCTCGATGATGCACGACTGTGTCAACGTCACATTAAACGAAGACAAAGAGGAGCTGTAGCGCGGCCTTGCTATCTGTGTGATAATCGACTGCAGTGCAAGAATAGACACTTAAGTGCTGCTCGGCAGAGTTTATTGCAGAGCTTTAAATCCCACCCTATAATTTTCCAAGACAAGAGAAGCGGCCTTGTTTCCTCACCGTTTATCCTTTCCCAGTGCAAATGCTCTTCATGTTTTCTATTTAAGCTGCATTTATCAATGACTGACATGACAAATCACATCACTTAAGGCTCTGTAAATAAATATAACAGAACCACATCATGAATGTGGTTGTAATTTTAATGATTTCTTTGAACTGTTCTTTTTGCAGAGTATAATGACTGGACAGGTCAGGAAACCCATTCCCGAAGCATCAAAATTAACGTTAGCCCACTGCATCAGTTCAAAAACCAGTTTTGATGCATGTTAGGTATCACTGTCATACTTCAACACTAAACTGTGTCCAAGTTTCAACCGTCTAGCTGTGGAAGTTAAATAATTGGGAGGAAGTCCTCCTTCTGCATTATTCTATCCACCTTGTGCACAAGGACCACGGGCAGCAACAACAGCCCCAGTGAATGATGCTACCACCACCATGCTCCACATGTGGTGGTGCAAACACATTTTCTGTGGCCAAATAGCTCAATCTTTGTCTCATTTGACCACAAAACTTTCCCCAGAAGGCATTCGGCTTGTCCATGTGGGCAGCTGCAAGTTTCGGTTAAGCTTGAATAGCTTGATTTTCGACGAGGAGCTTCTTACTTGGTCTCTCAGTCCACTGCTATGTAAAACTTGCCGTGGTCTGATTCGCTGGACTGTGGATAGTGACATTAGTATTCCACCTCCAACTCATGGTAGGCTTGAGCCTTAGTGTTTCTTGGGTTGTCCCTGAGCATCCTAACTAATTTCCAAACCTCTTCAAAGTGGTCACACATCTGAATAGCTTATACTTACAAACAGTTGTTTGAACTCATGATCTTGGAAGTTATTTAGAAATGGCTCCAAGAGACCTCCACAGTTTATGTAAATCTACAGTTTTCCTTGACAGATCTTCACTGAGTCTTTTGAGTAATGGTCAATCCAAATATTATCGTTAAACAAATTCTTTTTATGTCAGCAAGGAGAAACTAACAGTTGTAGTCAATAGTGACTTCACCAGTGAGAAATGAATAGGCTTCAGCCTTGTGAAGTTAAAAGACATCTTCAGTATGTACATATTAGAGGCTGTCTGTGTACTTTTGACCCTGTGTGGATTAAAGAAAATCTGAAATTAAAATTCGACTGTGCTCTTCCACGTTAAAGATGTTGGTGTGAAGCAGGTCTATCGAACATGTGTTTGTAGGAGAGACGTCTTACACTTCCACGCTTCAGTGACAAGCACCTCCATCTGGTCGGTAAAACAAACCGACCTCAGAGCTGCGGTGAGAGCGCTCGCGTTGTATTTCAGGGATGTCTGGTCACCCTTTCGCAAAAGCAAGAAATCTATTTTTGCTTTTTAACTCCTCTCGCAGAAACGCAGGCTTTATTCTTGAAGATGCGAAACAGATTTGAAGTGAGTTTCTGCCTCCAACCTCTAAACTGCCAAGAGACAGGCTGGTTGTGCCCTGAGGAGATCAATTCAATTTTAAACACAGCTCTTTGTCCTGACCCAAATGTTTTTATTTCCCATCTGAAAAAGAAGCTCCCCCAGCACAACTAAAATGCAACAGACAGTAACTGTTCGTTGTCTGTATATATGCTACAACACAATCCTTTCACTTTACACTACATTTGTTTAAAGCGCGAGCATCATTTTTAACATTCTGCCCGGTTATTTGGATGTTTAGATGCTTACCTCTCACATCCTGCGACATGTGCATTAGTCAAATGTGAAACACAGCACGGCGACTGGCGTGCAGATTTATGTGACCTCTCATAATATATATATTATATTATATACCCCAACCGGTCGCAGCAGATGGCCCCGCCCCTCCCTGAGCCTGGTTCAGCCGGAGGTTTCTTCCTGTTAAAAGGGAGTTTTTCCTTCCCATTGTCGCCAAAGTGCTGCTCATAGGGGGTCATATGATTGTTGGGTTTT